AAAGGAATTGTTCTTGAAATTATTCAAGATAACAAAGTGTTGATCTGAACTCGCAACCAACAAAACGGGGTTTGAGTGCAGCTTTGGCGGTCTAAGCTTGCTTATTTTCCTGCAACTCACCTATCTATTGTTCTTACATTCTGGAATTTACTTCATTTTGTAGAAAAAAAAGTTTTATACGTAGAATAAATCTGTTAGAAAAAGCGGAAATTTTGGTATTTTTTAGCTTTTTTCAAAACGAGACTTTTTAACTTCTTTGAAATTTTTTAGAAAAGTTGAAATTTCAAAGAGGTTTAGGGGGTAGCAGACATTTTTCTCCAAATGACTTTTGAGGCATTAGTGCTGTAAAAATGGAGCAATTTATAGCTTATCAGACTGGTCAAAATAGAGGTTTACTGAAGGTATAGCAAGACGCTGATTTCTACTGGAAGGGGCTGGTGAGGTATTTTTTGGATTTACATGTGTGGGCATAAGTTTGCAAAGTCGGAAGAAGATTTGAGGGGTGGGTAGGAAACACAGTGATTATACAGTATTTATATATGTCTTTTTTATATATTTTTAATTAGACTTTTATTTATTTGAGAAACTTGAGAGAGGAAGAAAAAAGAGGTGTCAGAGAATTAGTTTCTTCTGGTCATATTTTTGAGCTGGGCCTAAGCATTAGGTGAAACTCAAAGTCGTGGCCCAATGCTTTACCAAAATGCTAGTTTCCAAACCGGGCAACTGAAAGGCACTTCTTAGTATTAATTATATTAAAAATTATTAAATTTATCGTCTCCACAAACTGGATGTGGGTAGAGGTTGCATTATAGTTTAGTTTCAAGATGTTACGAATTTTCTTACTAGTTTTTGGATTGATGCTTCGGCTTAAATTGATGAAGTTGCTGTGTACTTGTTATATAAACTGCTCCCAGGTAAGAAAATATTCCTCTTTCACGATTAATATTGTAAATCCCAAAATTATTTTTTTACTGATGTAGTATTTAAGAGATCTCGTGTCGTCAGTAGTTCAAAAGAAGAAGGCTGTGAGAATGGATATTGATTTTAACAAACCGCTCGATGGTGTTGGAGAACCGAAGGCAGAGAAGCCTACAGGCAATTATTTAAAAGTTCAAGATTTTTAGCTGTTAAAATAAATTGAAAGTATTTTTTATGTGAAAGCATTTTAGCTGTAGTGCATGCTCGCCCGACATCTTTCACTGTATGTTTCGACAACAAAGACAATGTGCTAATTGAGGAGAAGATATCATCCTTACAGGACGCAGCAAAGAGGAGCACCTCAAGGTGCTTTTGTTAGCTGTTGTATAATTTTTAATGCTTCTTAACCTTTCCATATTTAATTTCTTTTGTTTTTCGGTTGCCAGTTCTGCTTTGGTTATCATTTCTTTGAAGGCGATTTATGAGAAGAAGTGCTCCTGCGTCAGCCAGTTCAGCAAAGTCACCTGTGGAGAGTCGCTCAAAAAAAATATTAGCAGAAACGGCGGATCCGAAGCAATACTTATTCAAAAAAATGTTAATGGGTGATTCTGCTACAAGCGAAGGTTCTGGTAAAAAGTTTTATGTTGTGAAATTTTTTAGTTCTCTGCAGGTCCCTTAATTTATTAGGACGCCATTGGGACAATATTGTTCCTTATGTTTACTAGTTGTGTCTAGCGATAGTGATCTTGGGTTTGAATATTTTTGGGTTTTATCCTTATAGTAGAATTTTTCAGCGCGGAGTAGGAGTGTAGGAGCGCCATTATATGTGGTTCTTTCATTTTTAGGCTTATAAAAATTTTTTTGATGGGGATTTTCAGTATAAGTTGTTATCAAGCCCTCAGTATAATTAATTTTTTCGTGAGTTTCCTATTTTATATTCGCTTTTCGCTAGATTTGGTAAATTTCACTTATTTTTTTTTAGGGTTCTCAGGAGCGCCAGAATTTGTTGGGTCTCCTACGGGTCTCGAGAAGCGCGATGTAGATGTGATTAGTGAAGCAGGGACTTATATCGTAGGTAGGGTCTAAACGCTATTTCTTTTTTTTTTTTTTTCGAAAGGTATCCTATTTGTTCAATACTCGCCGGCTTTCTTAATGCATCGCAATAAATTACTTTTATGATGCATGGGTACTTCTGTCCCCTAGTACAATTACGTTTTAAGATGAGAAAGATCGCGTCTTGAATCCAATGGTTTCTTCGCAGTGCCTCGGTGATTCCGACAACGATAGCGATTCAAGGTAACATTCATTTTCTTTTCTTTGTGGGACAATTTATTGGAGAGCGATAGGTTTTAAATAACTCTTCGTTTTAGTAATATATTTATTAGCTCAAGCGACCTGAAATTTTTTATTTTGTTACACTAATTTAAGGCGTTAATTAGAAGCATTTATCAGGCTGTAATTACCAAATGAAGTTTTAAAAATTTCTTTTGGTAAGGCCTTGGCGTTCTTCCTGTTGCTAGCCCTGCTCTTTCTTCCTTTTACTGAGAATTTATTACAGTGATAAAACAAAAATTTTTATTTTATCACACATCATATTTTTTGCTGCACCGTAAACAATTTATGCCCTCAAGGGTTTAGTGCTTCTTGAATTAAGTTTCTAGTTTTTGCCAGCTTTTGCTGCTGTGAACACTTGGTGGCTTTGGATAAGGCAGAAAATTCATGAACTTGTGAAGTAGATTGGTTTATTCTCGAAAGGTTTGAATATTAGGAGAGTTTGCGAGAAGATAGGGCTTGTTGTTTCATCTTCTTAAAAGCCGGGGAGTCGGAGAAAGACCTATTATGGAAATTTTTGTAGTTCTATATTTCTCAACCAACCCATGTTGACGTTTTTTACACTCAGTTGCAGTGAGAGCCGAGTTCTCCCAGTCAGCTTTTGTACTAAAAAGGAGCTGGAAAACAAATTAGCACCAGGTTTACTGGGGATCTGAAATTTTTGATTGGTTTTGCTATTATTTGTAAGACACTTCAGATGCTGCTTATGTTCCAAACTCTTTTGTGTTGAGCCGATTTTTCAGTTGTTTTTAGAAACCATATTGTGTAAATAGTCAACTCTGAAAAAAAAATTTCTAGTGAGTCTACAACAGCTACAACTTCAAGTTCATCAGATCAAACGCCTCCGTCCTATGCACCCATCAGGATTATTGAAAAGGTTAGGAATAATTTTTGACAGATCTTCATTAGTTTGATAAATTGATTATTTGGAAGCGTTAAAACTTACTTTTAATTTGTTTTATTGTTCTCTTTATAATGAGCAGTTGCTTCAGAAACCGGTCGATTCTACTGGAACTAGTTCCACCCAGGAAAAAGGCTCAGTTTCTCGGGGTATTGCTCAGAGCAAGGGACGTCGGGAAACGCTCAAACTTTATGATCCTAAATCTAGAAAAAATATGACCGCTGCAGAACAGAGGAGCTGTTCAGCGGCTTGTTCTACTACAGCTACAGTTTCGCGTATTTGTGCTTCTAATACACTCACTGGACGAAGTACAGATTTGTCAAGTACTGGTGTAGCATCTGAAGCAGTTACATCTGGCAATACAAAACGACATGAGGTTGACACACCCTCGTCATCGCGACGTTGGGGAGCTGGTGGCAGTAATTTGGCCAATGAAAATGAGAATAGGTTAAGAAGTGGGCGCAAAGAAGGCAGTGGCGTTAAAGGTGACGTCACCCAAATCAGGTTTGTGGAATTGAGTTTATATGAAAATGCTCTTGGTCTTTTTAATTTGTTGAAACCTTTGTTTTCGCGACATTGAACAAGTTTTACAATTTGTATCAGTTTTATGAACTAACTGATGCATTACTCCTTAATTTTTTGAATTTAATTTAAAAATTTTGTGTTTTTAGTAGACACACTTAATTTGATCTCATTTCATTTTGTTGAAGTTTTGTGATCTGAATTTTTCATTGGTTTTCTGAGGTTTTAACATTTTTCATTTTTAACAGGGAGTGTCGTTGTCGTAGCGAGACGTAAGATTTTTGCACGTCATTATTTATGTTTCCAGTGTTGTCAGAGGAATAAGCATGTTTTATTGTGATTTGTGAGCGTCTGAAGATCGAATGATTATGTTTATTCAGGGTTCATTCGCATTTTGTAGGATTGACCTAGAACTGACGACTTTATTTTACCCTGACATATTTTCTGATTGTTCTTTTGGCTTTTTGAATTATTAGACTTAATTGGAGTAATAATGGGTTTTAGATTTTTAATAAAATAAACTGCCTATCTGTTTGAAGCGAGTCAGGATTACGAGGATGAACAGAAACTTTTTTACCATTCAAGGGTCGTAAAAAGCTCTTGTTTTTTTAAAATTTATTTATTTCTTTTTTATAAGTGGTACTTTAGGTCTTTAGTTTTGTAAATTAATTAATATATAGGTTTTTAGGACGGACTTCAAATTTTTATGGAGGTCATTTGTACTTAGGCCTTACATGTTTCCTTTTACAGTTATTTTTTGCCTGTGTGGTTTTAAGCAGATTTATAACCGCCTCTCTGCTTAATTCTTTTTTAAAAAATTATAACTCGCTCTGCCTTTTGCAGAATTAAGTGCCTTCAGAATTTTTGCTTTCTGAATCTTTTTGGGTTTTTTGTAAATTGAGAAAATAAAAGATCTTTCTAGAATGGATGGGAAAATACTAAGATTTTGGTTTTTTTGGAGAAATTTGATGTAGGATTGCCCGTACAAGACCCAGCAAGCTCTAACGGGGATCGCTGGTGGGATAAGTTAGAAGAAAAAAAAAACAATGAGGAAGTGAAAATTGTGGTGTAATGGAGGAGTTTTTGCGGTTGTATTGCTAAAAAATTGGGGGAATCGCGTCTTGTTTACCTTTGCTGAGATGAGTCGACCATTAGATTAGTTAATGATGTCCAAAAAAAAATGGTCTTATTTTTCCAAGAACCCTAGCTTTTGTTGAGAGAGACTAGTGAGGAACTCCATGCGCTTTTGCGTATGAGAGTACAGTCCTACTGTTTAGCAAAGTTTGAAGGGAAATTGAGGGTTCTGTTGGAAGAAGTTGTGGGCACAATATGGGCTTGCTTATATGTATTTTTGGAGACTGTTATTTTGCGAAACCGCCCACTCCGCCTAATTGCATGTTTTTTGAGAAAATAGGATTTAAGTTGCCTAGGAATTGGGAGCTCTATTGGAGTCCTTCAGTGCTTTTTCTTCTTCTGGTCCAGAAGAGATTTCAGTGGTGATTACCTCTCTTTGTTCAAGGATTTTTCTTTTTTTGGGTGGTTGCAGATATTTCGGTGAAGTTTCTGTGAGATGGTTTTTGTCATTATTTTCATATTGACATGAAGCTGTAGGGTTTCGGCTAAAAATCAAAATGCGAACGAACTTCTCCATCCGATCTGTAATTTGTTTGTAAGATGTGCTTGGAGAGTAAAGTTGTTGTGGTGTGTATCGTTTCAGTTTTGTAATTTAGAACTGAGACGGAATGGTAGGAGGTTTAATTTGTCTGATTGACTGACATTCGGGTTCCTGTTTTTAGTTGATATTTTTCTAGAGGAAAGTTTAGCTTCTTTTTTTTTTTTTGGCCGGTACCTTTAAATTTTGGTTGAAAGTTCTTCATCCTTTCCTCGATATTTTTACTCTTGCTTGATGGTATCTTGGAATTATATTTTGTTGTCATTTTTCTTCCTGTTTTTTAGTTTCATTACTGTCTCTGATTTTCCAATACTCTACTTGAGGTTTGTTGCGGATACAAATTTTTCATTTGTGATGTGTTGTAGGATTTAACCGTGTAGTTCTAATATTAGGTTGATGCAAAAGTCTTAACAGCGTATTGGATTTTGTTTTGAGACTAAAGGAACTTGTGTTAATGGGTTTGGATACGCTTTATTTTTACTGGTGTCTAGGGAACTTCGTAGGAGCCCAGTAATCTTTGCTTTGCAGGATAAGTTAAGAACGCAGACTGAGTAAACTATACCACGTATTTACAAATGTGGGAGTCCTTACATATTTAAATTTGGGTTTCAATTTAGTTAATATTCCAAGTAGATTGTCATACAGATTTCTGTTTAAATTTCAAATTACCTCTATTTAGGACAGTAAATAGTCGAATAATGGGATTGCAAGCTGGAAAAAGGAAGGAACTTTGTAAGATATTTTTTTATTGGGTATGTTTTCGGGAAATTATATCATATCTGTACACGGAGGATCTGGAACCGATGCATGCAGTTGGTTAGGTTTAAGTGGGTCAGTTACAAATTGTTAGATGAAGTGGTTGTTTTAGGACAAGGTTCTTCCATCTACTTTCATTGTCAAAGAGAATGAGGGCGTATTTCTTTTAAACAGTTCGCAAGTAGGCTTTTACGTCATCTTAATATTATTAATTGCACGAGAATGAAATTCATTTTTTTAAAATTAGCTAAAATGTTGCTATTTAGGCGCGTTGATGGAGGTCGATTCTCTATGCGTACAGCATCCAATGGCAGAGCTCCTAATCAGTGTTTGAGTGGTAATCAGCAGACTACACGTAACATAAAGCCTCCGTTTCGGGTAGGTATTATCATCATAGATTTTTGGCACTTTACAGCTATCAACGCTGCAGACAGGAGAGGAGTAAACTGGTCTTTTTGGCGCATAAGAGATTGGGCTGAAATACAAACTGTCCTTATCAAAATTTGTCGTTGTTGATTACGCGTCATCTGTTTTGGGAATTATTGCGTTCCATATTATCGGACTAGAGAGTAATTTTTAGATTAATGGTAGTACGAAAACTGCAAATCCACAGAAAGAAAGTGCTGAAATGACAGCGTGGTTGAGACGGAAGGACTACAACCCTATGAAGGCTGCAGCCGAAGCGCGGAAATTGCAGCAGTTAAAATCACGGTTACTACAAATTTATATTTTTTGATTTATTTTAATAAACGTTTAAAATTTTATGATTTCTATAATCATTACTACTTTTGTTGTTATATAGATTACAAGCTTTAACGCGCAAGTCTCCTGTTTCTCAGGCTTTGTAAGTTAGTTGTTGTTTTGTGATTGGTGTTTATGTTGTGGTGTAGCTGTCACTTTGTTTCACTGCACAGGACTTCTCTTTTTATTTACTAACTTTGGTATGAAACGTCATTCCACATGTTCGTTTGGCCACTCCCAAATTTTCTTTTTAAGTTATGGGTCTCAGCTCTCGATTTGCAAAAACGTTGAGTTTTTCTTTGTCTAAACAGGACCAAATTTGATAATTTGACTTATTCTGTTTTTCTAAACAGAAAGCCTTTAAATTTTTAAGAGGAGCTGTCTTGAATTTTCAGTCTTACTTTTTTTGGTTATTTGCTTTTAAATTCTGGAGGAGTTGCACAAATTGTAAATCAAGACTGTTCCGTCACGGAAAAATGTCTTTCTGACAACTTACATAACACGGAATTTTAGTCTCCAAAATTTGCTGTAAGGTTATAGCATGAGACAGAATTGTACAAGTGAGCTGTGAAGTAATAAGTAAGGTTAAATGATAGAAGTCGCATTATAGCATGCCACTTTTTTTGGCTATAGCTATTGCGTTTGAGAACGTATTCTAACTCTGGCCAGCTGACTGGCTTATATACCTAATGAGGAGTCTTGAAGTAATTTTTTCCAGTGCTCATTTAGCCACTTTATCCTTCTTAAAACACGCCTCTCGTCTATCCCAGAGCAAGTTTTGCGACAAGTTTAAGAAAATTGATCTGTTTTTAGGCATTCTTCAAAAAGGGATTTAGAGCTCTTCTTTTTCTGCTCTATTCATAGGGTTTAATTTGTGCTCTCGCGACCTTGAACTAAAACTAAATGAAGAACAGCCTTTTTTAAAACAAGCTCAAATGTATTTCTTTGTACCATGAAAGGTAAGAAGTTGCAGGGACTTCTAGCTGGAGGTTTTGGCCAGAAGATATAAATTTTTGCCTTTTTTGAAGAATTGTGGCTCTGTGTGTGGGGGGGGG